GCGTGTGTGGATTACTGGAGGGGGCGTTTCCACAAAGCGCGTATCAAGGCTTGCTTTATTTGGGGGAGGAGCCAAAATAGATGATAGATGACGTCAGAAGCCTTGCTACCCGCCATTCCACGTGACTGCTTTGCGCAATGATTCAGCTCGCCCGGCACTTCAGCAGGCATTAAAACAGCCTCTGTGTTCAGTCAAGATGTGGGAGTTTGTAGGTGAGTTGGACTTAGTTTGGATAGATTCTAAGAATAGATTGGTGTTTTTCCAACCAATCTTGTTGGTTAAAACTAGTTTGGTTAGATTAAACAATGTAATGATTAAAATCTGAACAAGTCACTGATCATAGATATAATGAGTTTTAATTAGTATTGCTTTATGTAGCTATGTCATGTATTCAGTGGTGTCAGCTGTAATCCGTCGGTTGTTGGTTCAAGACCCTCCTCAGACTTTTAAAAGTTGCAATAAAACACAAGTACTGTATTTTAGCTAATGTGACTAATTTGTTTTCATAGCCCTAGTATAAATATAGATGTTGGTAAAAGCACCAAAAATAAGATTTGTGGGTTTAAACAAAAGATTGGTTGAACACATAACATCCAACCCAATTAAAACCAAAATCTGTGGGAAAAACTATTATGTTTAAATAAAATGACTATCACCTTTAATTTTCTAATCATTGCCCAATTTGCACAAAGACTCTCTGTCTGCCTGACCTTATTTCACTTAAATGACAGAAAAACAGTGTACCTTAAATAACTGTTCCCTTTGAAGATATTTACACACACACAAAACGTAAAGATATTACCAGACAGACCAGACATTATCAATTTCAAATGAATTTATGTAGCGGAAAAAAAAAAGAAAAACAATATTGCAAAAAAAATCACAGATTATATTAGTAACTGTAGTTATGCACTCCACCAGTAGGTGGTGACATGTTCCCATGAGGCTTCATGAACTGTGGGGATCATTGAAGCCATTAGCCAAACAGAGACTTCATCTCACCATCCATCACTAGTAAAAAACCCCACAGCAGACAGAGCAGAGAGGGTCAAGGCAAAAAAAAAAAACTCCTATATCCAAAACAGAAAAAAGAATCCGGATGACAGACAGACTTACTTGATGGCTAGAGTTACTCTCACAACAGCTCAACAATCTGGCAGTTGTGGCTGCAAACAAGCAGCATATATAGGAGCTGAAAACAGGTGGATAAGATAAGTGGTAATAAGAAACCAGGCAGAGTTAAATAGGTGAATGGAATGAGCAATCAAGCCAGCCACCAGCGCCAGGACCATGACAATAAGCTACCTTTGTAAGGTGGGCTATACCCTTTACAGTCACGTTTTAAAATGTCACCAAAAAATAATCACATAACTTTTGTATGAAATGTGTCTCCACACTTTTTAAGGGTAGCCTCATAGTTGGGCAGCTGCCTCTGCTCCTTTAAAACACCCACTGTCTCTGTCTTCCTGCAAAATCTCACCTCCCACATACTTCCGACTTTACCGCTTCAGCGAGTATTCAGAGAACTTTTCTTTTTTTCCAGATAAAGCTGTCAGAAACCTATAGGAACAATTTGAGACTGACAACTGCAAACTCAGCTACTTTATTCAATAAGTTCAGTCCTGGTTTGGTTGTAGGTCATCGTGTTCTTGGTCAGTATAGATTGAATGAGAAATGTGTTTACACCTTTAAATATTTCATAAGCAAAAGCAGGTTGAAATGAGGAGTATGCTAGACACTGTGTTAGTAGTACAAAAATGGAGCTTTAGTTTCTTCCACACTTTCAAGTCTCTTTTTATCAGCCTTTTAAGCTTTTTATGCACAAATATCAATAATGAAAAAGTGTAGGGCCCGAAAAGAGTTTAAATCCACATCCTGGACTCAAACAATATAGCCTTTTAACTTCAACTAACTGCAAAAACCAGAAATCAATGTGAGAGTTTTTATCTTGATTAGCTATAAAGAGTCAGAGAACCCAGATCGATAACATGCATATTTGTAGCAAATTAGCATTGTCTTTGTAAAAACAAAGTATATATTTTTTTGTTTTTCTCCAAATCTTTCTGCATATCAAAAATGTCTTCAATGAGGACAAAGTGGAAACAAATTGAGAGAAATCATTTTCTTATTTAGCTTCATCCATCTTACATTAACGGGAATTATCCTGCCTGCTAAAAAAAATCATCCTACAACATGATGCTTTCACAAAAAGCTCTCTAGAAGGGGCTGCTCTTGCCAGGGGTGGTGTAAAGAGGTAGTTCTCTGCCACAGATCATGCAGCCTTTTAAGGTTTAAGACGTGTCCACTGACCAGAGCACCGATCGCATGATTTGCTGCTTCCCAGCCATGTGTCAAAATGCAAACAAGGGCTTCGATTGGCTTTCTTTCAATTGTGGCTTTCCTCGTATCATTCTCCCATAAAGGTCAGGTTTGTGGAATGAAAAAATTAAAGGGCTTGATATATCTTTCAGCAGCCGTGTTTCATTCTAGTTTCAGCCCAGCTGAACAACATTATTAAACCCAGAGATATCCGCTTTTCACAATAGCCTCTTACAGGCTGAACAGCGTTTGTTTACAACCTATGTAGGCCTGCTCAGAAGAGGGAGAAGAAAAGAACTGAAAACAAAGAACATCAATGCCATTTCCTTGTTGTCTCTGAAAGATAACGTGTTGCAGGAAAAACAGAAGATGTTTCCACATGCATTTCTTTTTCTTTTTTTTTTTTACTTAAGATTGAACTTTTTTTTTCTTTTTATTACAACTAGATTTCCTAAGTCATAGGGAAGCGCTGTTCTAACCGTTGCATTTCTCCCGAGTGGTGGCCGACCTAACAAGAGTGAGATAACAAAAGATAACAAAAAAAGAAACCCATTAACATTAAGAGAGGATTTTTTAAGAAAAATAAATTTTCTAACTTTTGGGACATTATCATCTGATAAAGAGTACATTTATATACATGTTTAAGCCAGAATGATTTGACATATAAATATGATTTCCCTACTTTAAGCTGTGAATTCCTGCAACTCATTCATAAAAAAACATTAATGGCTTCACCAGTCCCCTTCACAGCAGTGAGTTCAAAGCAGGTTTTTTTCTGATGTTGGTTTTTAGCAAAATAATTGATTAGAGGAGGTGGTAACCTGCACACCTGTGCTATGTCCCTGACTTTTAAAGTGTAAATGTCATTTTTGTGTGAAACCTGCTTTGTGAGTTGAGTGTGAGATGTGTTATTGACAGTAGGACATGATTACCTATAAGGCAACAAGTGAAGGCAATTGGTTGCATTAGATTTTTGTTGGTGTATCAGAGGCTGGATTAATAAACACTGCAAAAAATGAAATATAAGTAAATTCATCTTGAAAGAAGTGTTTTTTCATTTGATTTAAGCAGGTAAGTTAGGCAATTTTCCAATGGAATAATAATATTCATTCACTATTTAACATGCATCTAATGTTACATCACTGTGGGTGAAAGTGATACTATCATCTGTAACAGGGACTGAAGTATTCCACACAGACAGGTCAAGTGTAAATACCAGGGCAATATAGGTATTGTCAGCGAACAATGCATGAATATCTCTATTCTTCCACTCTGCAGAATCTGTTAGTTCAATCTCTAACGTTCTGCTCTCTCTGCTTTTTGTCATAGTAGCTTCATCTGGTCTGTTCCTGTTTGGCTGTGACTCCATCCTGGAGAGAAAAATCAGCTGTGCAGCTGCCATCAACACCTTTGTTTATAGATGTTATAGATGCTGGAGCTCGGCCTGTTTTCCAGTGTAGTCCTGTTTCTCCGACTGTGACTGGCTAGATGTGCTCTCTTCATCCTCTGACACGGGACCTGGCTCGGAGCTCGTCTGCCTGGCTGTGTTTCCTGGAAGGGGCCGCCTTTTACAGCTGCTTTTTGTATCTCTGCTTCTTTCTCCCTGAACCCAAGTCGGCCTCAACAGATGGCCGCTCACTTTGAGCCTGGTTCTGCTGGAGGTTTCTTCCTGTTAAAAGGGAGTTTTTCCTCTCCACTGTCACTACAAGCATGCTTAGTGTGAGGGATTGCATTTGAGTCAATGAGTTGATGCAATCAACTGGTTTTCCTTAGATTGAAAACTTTGACTCAGTTTGACTGTACAGTATGATCTGGTGAACTGTAAAGTGCCTTGAGATGACGTGTTGTGAATTGGCGCTATATAAATAAACTGATATAATCTGGGTTGTAAAATAAAGGTCTTTACAATAATAAACCAGACTCTCATATTTTTCTTCATTTACTCTATCATACAGTGTTGCCAAACAGCAACGCTAACAAAACATACCAAAGAATATATATACTTTAAAAAATTACTCTTGTTTAAGTTTACTGAACCAGAAGGCCTTTCTTTTTGTAATAAACAACTTGCAAAAAAAAACTAAAGTAATCCCTCGCTTTATCAGAACATGTTCTCAAAAAATGAATTCTCGTTGTTGCCTTCAGGACGCCACTTTTTGAGCCTCACTGAAAAACAAACCACTATGCAGATTATTTTATACCAACAGCCATTAGACTTTTTTAATTCTGTGTTGGTTGGCTGTTTGTTTGTTTTTTTACTACCATTCTGTGTTTTTTTTTTTACTAATTGTCGGTTCTCACACTCCTTGTCACTTTTTCTCATTTTAATCATCTTATTTTATGGTATAACGTTTTTAAAATGTATTTATTGTTTGTTTTTTCTCCTGTACTGCTCAAATGAATTTCCCCTTGTGGGATTTATAAAGTGGTCTTATGTCAAATGGCATCATTATACATATAGAGGGATATATATATATATATATATATATATATATATATATATATATATATATATATATATATATATATATATACCCTAAAAGATGGAGAAAACACTACATTTNATATATACACCCTAAAAGATGGAGAAAACACTACATTTTACATTTGGTTAGCAGTCATGTTTACATAAAAGCCAGACACATAAATTATCCCCTCCCAAAAAAGAACTCAGACAAGTTTCACAAAAACATGACTTTATGGGCATCTCATGAATATTTCAAGACATCAGTTCATTGTTAGCTGTGACACTGCCCAGGCACTGTAACACTGCCATTGTTAGACTGCTCAAACATGTATCCCACCTTATATGGTCCTTAAATAGCAATCAGGAGTTGTCAGGAATTCAAAATGGGTCAAGTCTATTTTTCACATATTTCATCAGAAAGTGACAGTCTGAGCTGTCCAGATGAAGTGGCACTGAGGGGTATTTTCGTTGTTGGCCTTTTGCCCTCATAAAGAATTTATGTGCCCGCAGGGATCATTGATAGATATTTCATCTTGTTACTCTGCTGGTAACCTTTTGATAACAAAGGATATGAGCAAAGACCGAGACATGGAGTTCCTTTAAACAGAAAGTAAAAACCTTAACGATAAACCATTTTTACAATATGTGACAGCCTGTCTTCCTGTCAGTTCTTATGTTCCTCCAAGCAGAGCTAGATCATCCCAGCCAGCCACGGAGGAAGAAAGAGTCCAACGGATCCCAGAATACAAACCAGTACAAACATCCAGAGGAATATCCTGTCAATGACCATCGCCACATACTTCCAGTCCTCCTTCACCTGGCAGAAAGGGCAAAAGGCACAGACAGACATTTCAAATTTCACACCACACCACTCTTCTATTTAAGTGCTGGCAGTTTTCTCCCTCTGATTGATTTCTCTTCAACTGCTGATGCATTTTTCACCACAAGGCTGCTTCCTTCTAAATGTCACTCAATCTTTCCAATGAAATATTCGTGTTGAAATTATAGGTGCCCTGCTGATTTGATGACTGGCCTCCTGTGACTCTAGATCACAAATGTAATGTAGTATTTCATTTTCGGATATATTTTCTTCCTTTATCTTATTTTCAGTGTTTTTGTAAAGGGAGCCAGGAATTACCATTATATTAGGGCTTCACACATAACTACTTTACGTGAGCACAAATTGCAAATATTGTGGGGTGTTTTTTTTAATAATAATAATAATGTCAGCAAATAATATTTTATTATTTCATGTTTTTCTGGACATTTTAATTCAGTTATACAGAGGGCTATAAAAAGGCCACTGTCACAAATTAAACTTGACATTTGAGTCTCTATTTAAGACCCTTTCTGAGCCATGAAATGGAAAAGTTCTTAAAGTGCTCTGTTGAGTTGACTGAAAAGGACTTGTTGTCAAACTAGATGACATAATTCAGTTACACTCGTTGAAGCTTCAGCTGGCTTAGCACCTAAATACATCACAGACTTGCTGTCAGTGTATCAACCCTCCAGACCACTCAGG